TGTTGTGCCCACAAGTCGGTGCCTACTCAGCTTTGAACAGCTTCCAGAAAGAACGATGGGCAATCTCCTGCATGATTTACAGTCTCCAAAAATCTGATGAAGGCTTAGCTGTGAGTCACCTCTTACTCAACAATAATGAGTTTGGGGTTTTTTTGAGAGGTGCAAATAAAAAAATAAAAGGGGGTGGAAGAAGAAAAGCAAAGATTCCTCCCACATTTAGAGTTTTTTCTCTTAAGAAAACATTGACCTCTTTGACATATAAAGAGACACAAACACATACAGCCCTCACTCCTCAATTCCTTTCTGTTGAGTTGTAACCAACTCATAGCTGACCCTCTAACAGATTTTCAGATTGTAAATGGCTCAGGAGGAGATTGTCCATCTTTTCCCCTCAGATCAGCTGACAGATTAGAACTACCTGGCTTTGCACTGGTGGGGCAACTCTCAAGTCACTAGGCCACAGCTATATGCATGCATATGTATATAATTAAAAAGTCAAATCTCTCTCAAGGACCTGGGAGCTTTGAAATGTCATCATCAAGGAAGCTAACACCTGGTTTGGGGGGGGGACAAGTGTTACTTATGGTTGGCAGTACAACTTCTGAGCACTAGGTCACCTGAGTAAGAGAATGACAATTAGAAAACAGAAATGGCTACCTCTATTATCATGTGACTTTAGGATGCACTGCTTAGACCCGGGAGCTCTGGTCAACCCAAAGCTAAGCACCAGCTGCTCTGTGGGAGGAAGAGGAGCAGTCCTCTCTTGTGCAATTTACTGCCTCTGAAAATCCACTAGAGGTTCAGCTATGAGTCCATTCTGACTCCACGGCAATGAACAACGACTTAGTGCACAGCATGTTGCACTGCTCAAATCCACCAGCATTTATGCAGAAGAAAGACAGGCAGTATCTTCCTGTTAAGATTCACAGTCTCAGAGGGCTGCTGTGAGTTGGAAGCAACTTGATGGCATTGAGTTAAGTTGAACTAATTTCTGGAAAATGGTGTTAAGCTTTCTTATTGTCAAGCTTGTTGTAACTTATCTTGAGATCATGTGTAAAAGGAATTGCATCTGTCTGGCTACACATAGAAGGATGAGTTTTGTGTGCCTTTTGCAATCTCTTCGGTGGATTCAGGGAGCTCTGGAAGCTGAAGGAGCTCTGGGGCCTAGAGGTAAGGAGCTGCATTGACAACTTGAAGGCATATGGTTTGAATTCACCAGTTGCTTTGCAGGAGAAAGATGGGCAATCTCTTCCTGTGCAACGTATTTCCTTTGAAAAGCCACTGCAGGGTCAGCTATGAGTTGGTTCTTACTTGAAAATACATAATAATAACAACATGAGTGGGTTGCCTGTAAAGGGTATCATATGTCTAAAATTCACTCAATAATAATATCATTTTTTATCATTTCTACTTTGTAGAAAAGTTTTTTAGGTTGGCAGGGAATTTGTTTTCAATTATATTTTCTAAAACAGTCACAGAAGCTTTAACTGTAACAGCCTCCAATTTGAAAACATGAAAATGTCCATCACCATGTAAAGATCAAACAACCTGGCTTGTTCATAGTCATGAAATATCACTCATTAGTGAAAAGGGTGAATTACTGTTTTATACAATGGCAAGGAAGAAATTTGAAAATAATAACCCTGAGTGAAAGAAGCTAGGAAAAAAGTATGTGCTGTCTGATTCTAACTCACTCATTTGCTTATTCACTCACTGCTCTTGAGTCAGAACTGACTCATAGCTGACCCTCTGGAAGCTTTTCTGAGGTTAGAAATCAGGAAGATAATGCCTGTTAGATTCTATTTATACAACATTCTATAAAATTCAGACTAGTTACTGTAATATAAAAGATACTCTTGGATGGTTGGAGATTGGAGGTGAGAATATGGGATGAAAGAGATTACAATGGGGGGTGAAAAATACCCATGTTCATCATCTTGATTGAAGCACGGTTTCATGGAAAGGTTATACCAAATTATAACCTTCTGTGGTATCTCACTTACACCTCAATAAGGTGGTTAAAAATCAGGCAAGTAAAATAAACAGTGTGTTTGGGAAATGTAAAAATTAAGGAGAAAGCCTTTTATTATAGGAAGAAGAAGTCAAGCCTCAAATTTGTGACCAGAATCCACAGCAAGAGAATCCCAGGATGAAGTAAGCAATTAAGCAATGGGGTATTAGCCATGTATTTGGGAGTGCACATCCACCGAGAACTACCTCAGAATAAAGCCCTGAAGACCCACCTCTAACTGATCATCATCCTGAAAACCCTAGGAAGCAACTGCACTCATGAGTGAGAACTGAGTCACAGGCAAATGATAAGATACAGAAATCCCACCAGATATTCACTACTAAAGAACTTACAAGGACTCATGACAATCCTGTAAGACAGAGCAGAATGTCCTCCATAGAGAGTCCATGGCTGGAGTCTCTCAGGAGCAGAATGTCCCATCCGTCTTTCAAAGAGTGGCTGGAAGGTTTGAACCACCAACCCTCCAGTGAGCAGCTCAGCAGTTAACCTAGTGTGGCACTAAGCCTCCTTGTACCCACAAGAAGGTTTATAATTTATGTACATCATGCCATTGCAAAATACCCCCTTAACATCAATCAAAACCAAACCCACAACCCAACCAAACAAACACAATAACAAAAACCTCTCCCAGGAAAATCTTCCTTAAAAATAAAGCACTTGGTAGGGATTTCAAGTCTAGCTGTTTCATAATCTCTTCCCTTTCTCATCTCATCACTCCAAGTAGAAAGTAATGGTTTCTTCCTGAGAATCACTGTATCATCATTTACTTACATTGTTGTTGTTATTATGTGCTGTCGAGTTACCAGGGACTCCCAGCGGCCCTATGTACAACAGCTCTGAATCCTGCCTGTCCTGAGTCGGTCTGACTCTGACACACCTACCCCCCAATGCCCCAGTTAATTTATCATTCCATCTCATCTGGGGTCTTCCTCTCCTGAGCTGTTCCTCTACCTTTCCAAGCATGATGTCCTTCTCCAAGGACCAGTTTCTCTATTAGACTAAAACTATATCCTAACTCGCCTTGTATCTTTAATACCATGTTGGTGTCTGGCCCATATGAACTGCTTAATAAAGGTGTGATGGGTTGAAGGATGATTGCTTTGGATTAACAGTTGAAAAGTAATGTAAGATATGATACAGTTCTTCCCCTCATGAATCTCAGTCTGGGGGGAAAAATCAGGTGTTTTTACAAAAGCAACTATAACACACTTCAACAAAATTGCTTCAAGATACATATAAATTAAGACAAAGACATAAAGGAAGAAATGAGTTATGTCAAACATATTATGATTTATTCAGGACTCTATTTATCTATTAGATTAAAAACTCCCTGAGAATAGGGAGTATAAATTGTGGCTGTTGGTATGTGCCGTCGAGTTGCTTGTGAATCATAGCAAACCTATGTGAGCCAAATTTATTGTCTCTGAAACACCTATGCCCATTACCCCAGTCACTGAATCAATCCATTTCATCCAGGGTTTTCCTCTCTTGTGCTGTCCCTCCACCCTCCCAAGCATGATGTCCCTCTCCAAGGACTAGTTCCTCCCTGCAACACGTCCAAAGTATGTCAGATGAAGCTTCAGAATCCTTGACTCCAAGGAGCAGCCTTGTTTCACTCTCTCTAGGACAAACCTGTTTGTTCTCCTAGCAGTCTATGGTATATTCAATACTCTTCTCAAACACCACAGCTCAAAGGTATCAATTCTCTTTCTAGCACCCCTAGTCATTGTCCAACTTCCTGATGCATAGCAAATAAATGAGAAGGCTGAGTATGAAATATCATTTCAATAATCCGTCAAATTACCTACTTCAATTCCTAGCATGAATGTTCTGGATGGACGGCTGGATGGATGAACATTCTACTTCATAAGCATCTGTTCTTTGACAAGAAGGCCAGGCCACCATGCTGTCAACTCCACAGCTGAGTTCCTATCCACCTCCATGTTTGCCAACAAAGGTATAGAAATCGTTTGAAAGGAAACAAATAAATAAAGAACCCTAAATCTTGTTGTTGTGTACCACTGGGTCAGAACTGACTCATAGCTGATCTTCCAGTGGTTTTTCAGGGGCAATAATCACACAGAAGGAGCTTGCTCATCCTCCTTCCACGGACCACCTGGAGGATGTGAACCTCATGCTTTCAGGATTGCAGCACAAATTTTTACCACTAGGCCATCAGAGCTCCCTACCTAAAATCTAGGTCTCCATAATTCCAAGAGAAGAGTTAACACTCATTCTCCCTATAAAGGAAACATGAAGGTGGGAGGTGGGCAGTGGGAATTGGTCAGCAAATCCAAGACCTGCCTGGAGTCACTGAGGATTCACAGCTGGGGAGGGGGCTAGCTCTTTGTGGACCACCATCAGACGTTCCTCTGTCCAAGGGCATATACACGGGTTCTAGTCATCTCATCTCTTCAGCAATCACACCAGTCTCATTGTGAACATAATTTCTGGAGATTAAATTTGCAGCTTTCTGCTTTCCCAGAAGATTTTAACTTTCTTATTTGCGCTCAATATCTGAAGAGGCAGGAAGGTGGAATAGATAACTATGAAAAATGTGAGGATAGAATGATGAAAGCACTTAATTCTCTCATTGTGATAAAAATATTGGCAATTATGGAAGTCTAGTCAGGACAAAACTAGCACAACATGGAAGTGTCTCAAATTACAATGGAGAGACGTGGATTAAATACCAAGCAGAAATCTCAAATAACTTCTTCTTTAGAGAGTTCAATTCAACAGGACATGAATAATTTAATGTTTATGATAAGGCAGTATTGCTTCTTATACTTACATTTAAAGAAACAACAGGTCTCAAAAAGGGAAATGAAGTAAATATCTATTGGAATTTGTCATGGATCCTCCAGCTAGACAGACAGCTCCAGAGGATGACAGGTGGACCCTGGAGCTCAGTGGTCCTCTGGATCACAGAGCTGGGGGGTCTGCAGAGGGCTCTTGGGATTCTTACCTGTAGATGGGGTCCTGCATCACCAGCATCTTGCTCTCATCCCACGTCCACTCCTTTTTCTGCAAGAAAAGAAGCTGTAAATGAATAAGTTAGGCTTGTCCTTAACTACAGAACCAGGGCACACGCTGAGCTACTAATGCTTATGCAAACACATGCATTTTGCTTTTGGCCTGACTTTTTCTCGCTAAGGGGCCCTGAGTTGATTACTCAAAAAGGACAAGTGGAAAATGTCAAGTGTCTGGTCTGATCAGTTTCCTTCAAGCACTTTAGAAGGGTATCTCTCTAGGGCGCTGACCCATGGGGACGATAGCTAAACCTCTAAATCAGAATTTCATGGAGAAATCACAAGAAAACAAAGATTATACATCCTTACAGAAGAGTGAGAAAATTGAGGGGGAAAGGGGAAAAAGAGGCGAGACTGTGAATGTTCCTGACATGGGTCTCACCCATTCTCTTTCCCTTAAAACCGCAATGCTCCACTCAAGCCTGGTGGGTGGACTTACACATAAGTGGTTATTTATTCATTATTTATTCTGGCTGTGAACCTAATTTATCAGGAGTTGGGAGGGAAGAAGAAGGGACAAGAGCAGTACTTGAGTCACCAGATAACTGAAAAAGAACACATCACCTCAGTGTGAAGTGTTGGACTCAGGTCCAACCCACAGATACAGGGACCAAGAGTCCTGCTTGACTTCACAGGCCTCTGTCACAGTGACAGTGCTGTCCTGGTCATTTGGGGAGGACTGTTCTTCATTTAATGAATATTTTTAGGTATGTGGATTTGTCAAAGATAATGTACAAGGTGGTCACTAGGGTTTAGAGACTCTCAGGCCTCCATCAGGGACTATCAGTGGGGGGATCTATATCTATACCTCCAGGGTGAAATTCAAAACTCAAATCCATTGCCATTGAATTGGAACCAACGCATAGCTGACCCTCTGTTGGGCTGCCTAGGCTATAAATCACCTGGGAGGGGACTGCCCATCTTTCTTCCATAGAGCTACTGGTGGATTTGAACCATAAGAGAGGCAAGCCCTTTGGGTTAATAGAATGATTTCCCATGATGACACCACAGGGTGAAATTAAGAAGAAACATGCACACACCACCCAACCCCATTTTAATTTCTTGAGTTTTTAAGTGGATTTTAGACTAGTCTGTAAACACTCAAAATACATTTTTGTTGTTATACATACAAAGCTTTTCCTACAATTAAGTCGTCAATTTTTTTAAATGCCTTCTTCTAATTGTGACTCATTTCCTCTATGACTTTAATATTTAAATGGCCCATTTGGAGCAACAGTGAACAAATAGACTAATTATACTAATATAATAATGCCTTTCATGAGACTCCTTCAGATAAATTAATGAAACAAAATCAGACTTCTTTCTTTACAATAAATGATCTTGTTGTTGTTGTTAAATGCCATCTAGTCATAGGTGACTCATAGTGACCCTATGAACGAAAGTCCTGGGCACTTGTATAACTGTCGTCCTTTCTCCAGGTTCATAGGGTTTCCAGAGGCAAGCTATTACGGAAGCGGATGCCACTCCTGCTTCCAAGCTTATTTTAATCAGGGAGCTCCACCAAACACTGTCCACCATGGGTAACCATTATTGCATTTGACTCCTCAGTGTCACAGAGTTCAGCTTCACAGCAACAAATAATCTGAGATTTTTAAAAACATGCCTCACCTGAGAAGCTTCCTGGGCTAATCACTACCCTGGCTGATATTCTTTATACCTTCTACACTTTCTGATATTTCCCTGTGATAGAGCCATGTATCAACCTCCTAGGCTAAGTTTCTCTGGTTTGGTAGCTACATGGTCCTTTGGCAGTCATCCCCATGACAAGATAGGCCATGAAGAGCAGCCAGTCAGTGAAAGGGTGTTGCACAGGGGTGTGGCCTAGATGAGTCCTTACAGACATTCTCGGAGAAGTTCTCTAGCTTTTTGGCTCCCTCAGGATCCTGCATCTAGCTCCTTACCATCTGATCTCAAGTTCTCAGCACTTGAGCCCATGGCTTGCTGTACTGCCTGTGAGTCAGCGGCCTGTCATTAAACCTGCTGATGTTGGACTCATCAATAATTGCAGCTACAAAGTGAGTCAGGAGAAATCTCTAGATTGACATCTAACCCACAGATTTAGAGCTTGCCAGTCTCCACAACCTCATGAGTCATTTCCTGAAGACAAATTTCTCTCTAGCTAGACATTTTAGAGAATGTACTCTGGCACTCTGAACTGGACTCATCATTCATCTAGGCTTTGACCATGGTATATTCTACTATTCTTTCCCGTGGTATGGTCATAATACTACACTTAACAAAAACAATTGATTATAACATTTTTCATCACCTCACAACTTTACTGGTACACATTTATACTGATAATCCAGTTGAAGAAACAAGACTTTTTCGAAGTCCAGATACCTGGGCCAATATGTTAAGCCCAAAACATATCATTCAACACAAGAGTTCTTTAAATAAAAATATACAACAATATGTTTGAAATATGATTGTATTATGGTGTAAAGTTTTTATTACCTAAATATTAAAGTCACATCTACAGTCATGATCACATGGTCAGCCTGAAATGTTAATTAAATCCTGTTAATATTTATGAAGTCAATCTGCTGCTGGGTGCTGCATTGGTAGAGGGGATGCAGACAAAGTCCCTGCATCCACACAGTTCTGTGTATCTAGTGAAAATAACACTCAACAGCATTGAAATTATAAAACACAGTGAAGAAATAGAGGGCAGAGGCATCAGCCGAGTTGAGGGACATCAAGAAACGTTTAACGATCAGGTGGGCAAAGTTTCCAGACATAGGAAAAAGCATATGCAAAAGCAGAGAGAGCCTTAGAGAAATGGCAGTTGTTGCAAATGGCTGGATGTAGGATTCCATATCACCTCTTTAGGAAATTCACCAACACCACAACTCTATTGTAAGCAGTGAATACTAGAAAGAGGTTTACTTCTATTTCATTGACTATGCAAAGACATTTGACTGAATGGATCATAACAAATGATGGCTAACACTAAGAATGGGAATCCCAGAACACTGTGTTCATGTGAAATGTATGCATGGACCGAGGAGAAGTAGAACAAACAAGTGTATACTACATGATTTAAAATCTAGAACAATGTACAGCAGGATTATACCCTTTCTCCATCCCTTATACACAATCTGTTTGCTAAACAAAAAATCCTCATTACTTGGCCGACAGTAATATCATAATTGACAGAGAAAAGATTGAATGATTTCATTTTACTTGGGTCCACAATCAACACCCATGATAGCAGCAGTCAAGCTGCCAAGGACCTCTCCAAAGTGCTAAACAGCAGTGATGTCAGTTTAAAGACTAAGTGATCCTGATCCAAGTCATGGTCTTTTCAGTTGCTTCCTTCGCACCTGAAAGTGGGCAGTGAATAAGGAAGACAGAAGAATCACTGATGCCTATGAATTTAGACTACTGACTATTCCATGGACTAGTGGAAGAACAACTCTTTCTTAGGGTACATGCAAATTAGAGTGCTCCGCAGAGGCAAGTAAGGTTTGTCTCAAATACTTTGGGCATGAGGTCAGGAGGGGCTAGTCCTTGGAGAAAGACATTATGTTGGGAAAGTGGAAGGTCAGAGAAAGATCATCAGTGAAGTGGGCTGACACAATGACAACAACAATGGGCTTTAGCATGACCGAGATCCTGAGATGGTGCAGGACAGAGCAAGGGTCAGATGCGTTGTTCCTCAGATGGCTATGAGTCAGAATCAACTCAATGGCACTGAACAACATAAGCACTATCATATTATTGAAAAAAAATCTAAAACAAACAAACAAACAAAAATATAATCATTATTAGGCTATCTACCATACTTCAAACTCATAGAGTAAAAGAGCCAACCCTAAAGAAATAAGGTGTTCTTTCAGAAAGTCAGATAATTGACTTGTCAGACAACCTAACTATACAAGCGCATAAATGTAATGATACCATTAATCTTGCAAGAGAAAGAGGTTCAATGGATGGCATGTTTGACTCACATTGAAATCACCCCAGGGGCTTTTGTGTATTTGTATATTTTTTTAAATAAAATTTTAAATTTTGATGTAATAATAAACTCACAAGAAATTGGTAGAAATACTACGGAGTGATCTCATGTGCCCTTTACTCAGTTTCCTTTCACAATAATATCTTGCAAAAATACAGTACAACAGAATATTGACATTTATACAGCCAAGACACAGAGCAGTTCCATCACCACAAAGATCATCCATTCTTGTGTTGGTTAAAACTACAGATGTAGTGTACTGGTGTACACTCTTCTGATACACTAATTCAACAAGTCTACGATCAGGAACTAAGGGGCTCAGGTGGTGGAGGGTGTTAAATGTTCCGCTACTAAAAAAGACCAGCAGTCCAAAGTCACCTGGTGTCCAAGGCAGAAAGATAGGCAGTCTTCTCCCATTAAGATTTCCAGCCTCAAGACACCAGAGGGAGGGATTTTATGATGCAGAATCAATTCAGAGGCAACTAGTTTGGATTTCTGGTTTAATGTAAGGCCTAAAAATATGGAGTTTTCACAACCACTTCAGGCCATTTTCATGTGATCCTAACAATGAAAGCTGCAGGAATCTAAAATAAGGTCCTACTAAAGAAAGGTGAAACTCAGATCTCTAACCAGAGAAATCCCCCCTCCCCACTTCTCCTACTATGTACCTCCCAGCAGTCTCAGGAGGATCCCTGACATTCTAAAAAGTGTCAACTGACCGTCATTCTATTATCCACCACCCTTGGTCAAGGCCCACCATCAACCATTAATCCCTAAATGACCACTGTGAGTTAAACACTTCAGGAGGTAACCACTGAGGCTATTCTCCTTCTGAGGGAATAGAATAGATCCTCTGGTTTTCATGTTTTTATTCAAAAGTCTATCTTTGGTTTTATTTTCAAAGATGGGAGGGGTGTAAATGATTGAATGTACCTGAGAGGCCACAGAACTCAAAGAAACTGCAAATCCACTGACCTTTCATGAGGGTCAGTGGAAAGCAGCTCCAAAGAGTATTCTGAGTACAGATG